TCAGGAAGAGTGGGAGAGGTGAAGAAGACGCTGCTGAGGCCCAGAGGTAGAAACATGGGACACGTTGGGAGAGCAGCAAAATGACCAGTGGTCAAAGCAGAGTGAGCTCAGTAAAAAGCAGGAGAAAAAAGTGCGGGGAGCCCAGCATACAGGGCCTTGTCAGGGCTTTGGGAGATGACTGACCTATTCTGAATGAAATTCAAAGCCACTGGAGGATTCTAAAGAGTAAGATCTGACTTGCATTTTATAGTAAAGTTCAATATGCTCATTGTATTGGAGAATAAAATGAAAGAAAGTGGTACATTTGAGTCATTAATAGCATTTAGGAGACTATTTAAATAGTTCTGAGGAGAAATTATGTTTGTTTTGACCAGAGTAATAGTGGGGAGGTGTGAGAAGTGACTGGACTCTGATATAATTTAAATGTAAACCATTAAGATTTCCAGATGGATTAGAAGTGGATGTGAAAAATAGAATTATGGGTGGCTTCATGTTGAAAGCCTCTTTTATAGTGGATGCCTCTTGTGGGTTTTAATGTGGGTCATAAACATCCATGTGTTTTTATGACCACTCTGGTTCATTTCCATCCTCTTTGCCTTCTTACCCCTTAACTTCTATTCTTTAAAAATATTCTTATTGAGATTTTGTGCATCTCATATAATAGATCTTAATCAAATTTGGAACCCTTTTCCCATCCATCCTCTGTAGCCCATTCCCACTGGATTTCTTCTTACTTTCAGGCCTCTGACCAATAAACCAAGCCACTCAGCACTGCTGAGGAACTTTGTAGATCTACACTAAAGGGCATTCATAGGTAATGTGAAATAGCACTGAGCCCACCCATACAGATACAGCCCATATAACATAGAATATTAAGAGAGTGTTGTATGAGACCTGGATGGGGACTAATAACTAGGAGGCTTTGGGGTATGTATTTTTATTATATATATTGTTATTTTTACTTTTATATGCTTATGTTTGATAAGCATATATATTATACATAGTTTTTGGAGAAAAGTCTCTCACTAAGAAGACCAAGTTGGCCTCAAAGTAGTCATGGTGATCCTCCTGCCTTAGCCTTCTGTGTGTGTTCTGGCTACTGGGTATTTCATCATAAGAACAGAAGAATATATTTGTGGTTGTTTGAAACATATTTATTATGAACATTCAGGGTTCTCTTTTGAGTTTGGGCTATCATGAAAGTGGATATTGAGTGACCAAAGTGATGGATCTTCATAGTAATTTTCAAATCTTTTGATTGTCCAACAACTGATCTCCTTCAGTAGAGACTTAGCAACTGTGTGGCTTGGTATAGACAGACTCTTTTCTAGCTTGATGGAAGCTAAAGTGCCAGATGATTTTTTCCCCATGCCCTATCTATTGAGGAAAGCATGTTATATGCTCTTGCCTAAGAATTTAAATCTGAAGAACTTGAAATAAGCAGTTAATTTAATGTACTGATGAGGATGGCAACATACATGGCCCAGTGACAACAGCATCAGTGACAATATCCAGTGTCCAGGAATGACAGCAACAGCACTGTTACTGTGTTATTCCTTAGATGTGATGTGACTTTGATGGGGTTCTGGCTATTTGGATTTCTATAGGTCATACCTTTTCCTCATATAAGTAATAACTTGATTCTTCAGTCTTCTCTTGAGCTTGAGAACTGCTGATATTCTGCCAACAATTTCTTTTCCTCTTACTTTAGAAAGTCGGTTATTGTAGATAAGACAATGTCTCTGTCAGCTATAAAAATCAGTACTGAGGTTCTTCAAAAACTAAAAATAGAACTGCTTTGTGATCCAGCTATACCAATCCTGGGTATTTATCCAAAGGAAATCACACTTAGCATACAATAGAGGTTCCTGCTTATTCATGCTTATCATAGCACCTATTCACATTAGCCAAGTTGCAGAATCAGACTACTGTCCATCAGTGAGTGACTAGATAATATAATCTAACAAAATATTTTCAAGTTCCATCCATTTTCTTGTAAGTTTCATTTTTTCTTTAGCGATGAATAGAATTCCATTGTGTATATGAACCACATTTTCTTCACATGTTCATTAGTTGATGGATATTGTATGTATATTCCATTTCCTATTATGAATAGAGTAGGAGGAAACATTGATGTACAAGTATCTCTGTGGTAGGATATAGAGTCCTTTGGGTATGTGCCCATGAGTAGTATCTGGGCCATATGATAATTCTACTTTCAGTGTTTTGAGAAACTTCTGTTCTACACCAGTTTATACTCCCACCAACAGTGGGTGAAGCGTCCTCTTTTCTCATATCCTCAGTGTTTGTTGCTATTTATTTTCTTGATAGTAGCCATTGTGACTGGGATGAGATGGAATCTCAAAGTAGTTTTTTGTTTGTTTGTTTTGTCTTTTTGAGACAGGGTCTCCCTGTAGCCCCAGCTGGCCTGGAACTCACTATGTAGGCCACACATTTCTCTCATGGCTAGGGATGTTAAACACTTTAAAAAATATTTCTTAGACATTTCTATTTCTTCTTTTGAGAACTCTATTCAGATCCATGACCCCTTTTTTATTGGGCTGTTTATTTTCTTTGAGTTCTTTGTATATTCTAGATACTAATTCTCTATCTGATTAAAAAGCTGGCAAAATTTTTCTCCCATTCTGAAGGCTGCTTCTTTGCTCAATTACCTTTTTATCTTTGCTGCGAAAAAGCTTTTTAATTTTATGAGGTCCCATTTGTTGATTGTTAACCTTATTTTCTAAATGATTAAGTGTTATTTTTTAATTTGTTCCATGAAATTCCACATCAGGACCCCAGCCATAAAGTTATGGGTGGAGTCAACCATGGACTGAAACCTCAGATAGACTTACCACCTTATTTTACCAGAGGTCAAAATTTATCACAGAAGTATAGTAATTAAAACAGTAAGTATATTAACCTTCTGTCAGAGTATACCTGGTAAAGTTTTTTTTCCCATTCCATAGGTTGCTTTTTCACTCAAATTATGATGTCCTTTGCTATATAGAAGCTTTTTAGTTTCATGAGATCCCATTGCTCAATTGTTGGTCTTCATGCCTGCTCTATTGGGGTCCTGTTCAGAAAATACTTTCTTGTGTGTTTAAGTTCCAGCGTATTCCCTATTTTCTCCTTTATCAGATTCAGGGTACCAGGCCTTATGTGGAAGTCCCTGATTCATTTGGAGTTGACCTTTGTGCAGGATTAGAAACAAGAATCTAGTTTCATTCTTCCACATGTAGAAATTCAATTTGATCAGCATCATTTGTTGAACATGATGTCTTTTCTCCCATGTGTATTTTTGCTTCCTTTGCCAGAAATCAAGCAGCTCTAAGTTCATAGACTTAAACCTGAGTCCTCAGTTCTAGTCCATTGATTGATGAGCCTGTCTTTATTCCAGTACCATGATGATTTTATTACTATATCTCCATACTATAGTTGGAAATCAGGATAATAATGTCTACAACTTCTGTTTTATTGTTCAGGTTGGTCTTGGCTATCATGGGTTGTGTTTCCATATGAAATTTGAAATTTTTTTTAATGTCTGTGAATTGTGTTAGAATTTTTAATGGGATTGCATTGAATCTGTAGATCACTTTTGGTAGGATGGCCATTTTCACAATATTAATCCAACTGGTTAATGAGCATGGGGGATTTTTCAATATTTTAGTATCTTCTTCAATTTCTTTAATGTCTTGAAGTTTTTATTATAGACATTTGTTACTTCCTTAGATTTATTCTAAGATATTTTTTAAGGCAATCATGAATGGGATCATTTCCCTGGTTCTTTCTCAGTATTTTTGTTGTTGGTATATAGGAAAGTTATTGATTATTGTGTGTTAATTTTGTATCAGCTCTGAATATGTTGAATATGTTTATCAACTCTATGAGTTTTCTGGAGGAGCCTTTAAGGTCTTCTGTGTGTAGAATCATATCATTTGAAAATAAGGATACTTTGATTTCTTCCTTTCCAATTGTATAACATTATCTCCTTACTTGTCATATTGTGCCAGCTAAAACGTCAGTCACTATATCGAATGGGAATAGAAAGGGTGGACTGCCTTGTCTTGATTTTAGTGGAAATACCTACAGTTCTTCCCCAAGTAGTATGATGTTGGCTGTGGGCTTTTTGTAAATTGCCTTTATTATGTTGAGTTCCCCTGTACCATTAGATTCTCCATGACTTTTATCATGAAGAGATGTTGGGTTTTGTCAAAGGCATTTTCTGCATCTAATGATATGATCATGAAGTTTCTGTCCTGGAGTCCCTCTTTTGGAGTTGTTGACCAGGAGGTTCCCGTAAACCCTCAAATAATACTGGCTATTGCCATTGCTCAGTTGCATGTATGAGCCCACAACACTTGTGACAGCATGCATAAGACCTGTGCAAACCCAAGCCAGACAAAAACCCAGCATGGAGGGGAAGGTGGGCAAAAACCCCAACCCTAGCTGGGGATCTATGGGCAATTGATAGTTGCTGGGAGAGAGACAGTCCATTTTCTTTAAGCATGTGACACCTGGTAGGTTGACCAGGCTCCAAGGGATGGACTCACACCCAAGAGCATTTGGGCAACACAAATTAGATTTGATAGGCCTTTAGAAAAGAAAAAAAAGATGACATGAAGTCAGGGTGAGGGGTAGTAGGGTGGGGGTGGAGAGATGGCAGAGGGGGTCTGAATATGATTAAAATGCATTTGTGAAATTATGAAATTCTCAAAGAATCAATATTTTTGGTTTGAAGAAATTTATTTTAATTTTTATGATAGCCAAAAAAATCTTGTGTAGACTCTTCTATCCCAAAGCTTCCATCCATCTGCCTTTTAAACAGCATATGGAGCATGGCCCTTGCTGCCACGGGAGTCCTTGAACTTTTCAAGAGAAATATCTACCTGCTTTGTGTAAAACTTGCAGGTGCATTCAGTCAAGCTGACTTAATACCTTCAGAGATTCAGTTCAGTTGAGCAATGGATAATTTAAAGGTAGATTCCTGAGTTTCCAGCCACTGTTTCCGTTTAATCTCCCATCTCCTTCAGAGAGATTCCCATCTGTTTTAACTCTTACATCATCACCAACAATAAAAGTTTTTAAATCAGGAAAGAACTGTGATGAAATATATATTCAGATGAACAGAATAGAATGGGATATTACTAAAATGGACCAAAGTTTATTTGCAAATTAATTCTATGATTAAAGAAGGATTTTATGTTAGTGGGGGAAATATGGATTGTGGAATAAATATTATTGAGGTGGCTAGTTAAATATTTGTGAAGTAAAATGAATTTCAAACTATCCTGGCATCTGCAACCAAAATAAATTCCAAGTTTAAAATTTTAAAATTAACAGTAAAAGTGATGGCAGCAATGAAGACAGTGACCTAAAGACCCCATTGCTATCTTTCTTTCATGAAATGCAATAGAGTCTCCAACTGCCCTTGTTCACTCTTTTTTCAATAATAATTAAGGATACTTAAAGGTATACAATTTCCTCAGGCTACTTTTACAATGGTTCTGATATGAAGTGTTCTCTTTTATATTATGTCTTAGTTTAGAAATTTAGTTTATTTCTTTGATGCAAAGGCTAATTAATAGACGTTCTCTGAAACCTGGGATGAAGTTTTTATTACATTTTGATTATTCATTTATCTTAATTTATTATTAATAGATTATGTCACACAGAAATATAGTTAGAAGTTTTGTAGGATATTTGACCACAGGTATATGTTCATTTGCTTGTTTGTTGCTTGCTTGCTTGAGATTACTGCACAATTCTCCTGACCAAGTGTCTAGAATGCTGGGATCTACTGGCATGTGACATCACACCTACATGATCCTAAAATATTATATTCAGTTAAATTAGCATTGAAATTCGCAAATGTATAAATATTCAAAAAACTTACCACACATGCTATTTGAAGGAAATAATTATATACACCATAAAAATGAAAAGTGATTCCAAAATATAAAAGACTAGAAACTGAAAAATGGTGAATAAGTGTACTTTACATTTATCTAAATAATTAGTAATAGTTACTAAACATCTTGGAAAATTCCTGTATTATTTAAGGTTCTCCAGAGGAACAGAACACACACACACACACACACACACACACACACACACACACACTCCTCTCTCTCTCTCTCTCTCTCTCTCTCTCTCTCTCTCATTATAGATAAAAAGTTCTGTAATTTTCCCTTTGCAAGCCAGAGAACTAGAAAGGCCAATGATATGATTCAGTCCAAGTTCAAAGGCCTGAGAACTAGAGAGTGCTGCTGGTTCAAATACAAAGGCCCAAAATTAGGAGTGCTAATGTCTAAAGGCAGTAGAAGATGGATGTTACAGTCCGATGGGAAGCAAATACGTTCTTCCTTCACCTTTTCATACTTTGTTTAGGTCCTCAACAGATTAGATGATGTACACCTGTGTTGGTGGGCATCCTAATGTTATCTTCTTTGTTTCACCTACCCATTCATTATTAATCTTTTCCAAAAACATTCTCAAAGATATACTGAGACATAGTTTCACTAGTTATCTTTTCATCCCTCTGTCCAATCAAGTTGACATACAAAAAAAGTAACCGTCAAAATATTGACCTTAAAGGTGATAGGCAGACTGTTAGAAGAGAGAGTCATGAAAGCATGATGCATCTGTCATTGCAATGCAGTGAGGGTAAGAGCGGGGGATGGTAAAAATAATGACAATTCCAATCTAGATAATAAGATGAGGACAATTATATGCTTTAAAATTTCGGTGAAATTAATTTAATAGATGCAGAGTATTAGCTTCCAAACCACAAGACTTGTAACTAGAATAAAGAAAATGTGATCAATATAACAAGAAAGAGAGAGAGAGAGAGAGAGAGAAGGAGGGAGAGAGGAAGGAAGGAAGGAAGGAAGGAAGGAAGGAAGGAAGGAAGGGGAGGAAATATGAGACCAATCACTTCCAGGCATGACATGGCCATTGTACTCTTGAACTCAAGCTGTGACTATCCGAATAAGATCTCCACAAGATTGTGCCTATCAACACCCTGTCATGGAAGGGGGGCGCTCATGGGGTCTCACCCCTCCCTGGCGATATATACACAGGCAATAGTTGATGGGGGAGGGAGAGACATTTTCTTCAGTCCTGGAGGCCCTGGTAAGGTGCACATGCTCCCGCAGAGAAGCTCTTATTCACACTCCTGCAAAAAGCCCTAATGGAACTCATTGGGTCTCAAAAGGAAAAACAAAACAAGACAACAGAAGGAGGCGATAGGGAAGAAGGAGGAGGTTACTGGGAGTGGGAGGGAGACAAAGAGAACAGAAGAGAGGAAATATGGTTGAAATCCATTACCTGCATATATGAAGATGCCATAATGACACCCATTATTATGTATGTTTAATATATGCTAATAGAAATTAAAATGAGGCCGGGCGTGGTGGTGCCTTTAATCCCAGCACTTAGGAGGCAGAGGCAGGTGGATCCCTGTGAGTTCAACACCAGCCTGGTATACGTAGTGAGTTCCAGGCCAGCTGGGGCTACAGGAAGACTCTGTCTCAAAAAGACCAAAAAAAAAAAAAAAAAAGAAAGAAAGAAAGAAAGAAAAGAAAAGAAAAGAAATTCAAATGAAAAGAGAGGGGAAATATGAAAGGGAAGGGGGAAGATGAGAGAATGGGGATGGCATGAAAGATGGAACAGTGGGGCAAGATGCTAAAAGAAGTGATAACAAGAAGCATCAGTGCACTAACTTTCTCAATCAGATTGTGAGGAAATGATGTCCAGCCTATCCTAGTTTGTTCCTTCATTGCTGTGACAAAATACTCTGACCAATGCCAACTTGGGGAGGAAAGGGTTTATTCAGCTTACATATCCCAGGTCACAGTTCATCAGGGAGCCCAAGGTAGGAACCCAGGACAGGAACCTGGAGGCAGGAACTGGAGCACAGGCCATGGAGGAACGCTGCTTACTGGCTTGCTCGCATGGCCCCTGCTTAGCCTGCTTTCTTATGCAACACAGGCCCACCTGCCCAGGGGTGGCACCACCCACAGTGGGCTGGTCCCTCCCACATCACTCATCAAGAAGATGCCCCTCAGACATGGCCACAGGCCAGTCCAAAGGAGACAATTCCCTAATTGTGGCTCCCTCAACCCAGGTGTGTCAGGTTGACACTAAAGCTATCCAGCACAATTGACCCCTTGTCAACTTGACACACAAACATCACTATTCAACCATAACTTTCCAATTTCTGTCCCCAAGATATTGTGTTAATATCACAACATAAGACAGTACCACCTTAAAAACCCCACAGTCCTTTAAAAATCCAAACACTTAAAAGTTCATCATCTCTTTTAAAAGTCTCTTAACTGTCAGTGGGCTTCTGTAAAATCCAAAACAAGCACTGTCTTATTTCAAAGGGAAGAATTAGGCACACCTAAGCAAAACCAAAGTCCAGCAAAGTAGCTCAAGGCTGGACATCTTGGATTCACTCATGATCTTCTGGGCTCCATAGGGTTCTGGCAGCCCCACTTCTCTGACTCTGCCATCCACAGCACACACAGCTCGTCTCGCAGACCCAGGCCAGCTCCATTCCACACCTACCACTGTCCTTGGTGGTCATCCCATGGTCCTGGCATCTCCAAAGAGCTGGGGCCTCTACTGAAACTGAGGCTACACCTTCACCAATGGCCTCTTCTTGCCTCTTGGGGTGCAAAGGCCTCAGATTCTCTCCATGACCCCTAAAATCCTGGGGTCTTAACTGCAACTGAAGCTGCATTTTCACCTATGGCCTTTCCTGGCCTCTCAGAGTGCCAATCCTCAGCTGCTCTCTGTGACCCCTTCACACCTTCAACACCAGAACCTTGCAAGAGACTCTTATACATTACCAAGTCCTGCTACCAGCTTGAGAGAGAGACTCAGGTCCCCTCTATGTGCTGACCCTGAGGAAATATCTCCCAGAAGATCTCACCATGGTGATGCTGGTCTCTTGTTACTTACAGCTGATTCTTCATCCCCAGCCAACCAGGACCCACAGATTCTCAATCCAAAATATCACATGAATAGCCCTGATAGTCTCTGCTTCCCTTTGAAGCTTCATAAGCCAGGACTCCATCCTCTACAACTCTTTCAGCATAACTGTTCCAAGCTCCATAGCAACAAACTGAGCATGCAATGGCTCTTCCAGCCTAAAGTTCCAATCACTTCCACAGTCTTCCCCAAAACACCAAGGTCAGGTCTGTCACAGCAATACCCCACTTCTGGTATCAATTTCTGTCCTAGTTTGTTCCTTCATTGTTGTGACAAAATACTCTAACCAATACCAACTTGGGGAGGAAAGAGTTTATTCAGCTTACACCTACCAGGTCACAGTTCATCAGGGAGGCCAAGATAGGAACTCAGGGCAGGAACCTGGAAGCAGGAGCCAGAGCACAGGCCATGGAGGAACGCTGCTTACTGGCTTGCTCGCCTGGCCCCTGTACAGCCTGCTTTCTTATGCAATACAGGCCCACCTGCCCAGGGGGTGGCACCACCCACAGTGGGCTGGGCCCTCCCACATCACTCATCAAGAAGATGCCCCTCAGACATGGCCACAGGCCAGTCCAAAGGACACAATTCCCCAACTGTAGCTCCCTCAACCCAGGTGTGTCAAGTTGCCACTAAAGCTACCCAGCACACAGCCCTACTGCACAGAGATACAATATAACAGTGCCCCCTTTTCTGTAGGGGATGTACTCTAAGACCCCCCCCCAGTGGATCTTGAAACCACAAGTAGCCATAGTAATGAACATTCTACATACTATGTATTATTCTAGATATAGACATCTTATAGTTTAATTTGTAAATTAGACACAATCATAAGTTAAAACTAATAATAAAATAGAACAATTACTGCAAACACTGCAATGAAATTATGCGAATGTGTCCTCTCTCTTTTAAAGTATCTTATTGTACTCTTCCCCTTTCACTCAGCACTCTAGGGATTCTCTATGGCATGTCCAAATCACCAGTATTACTACTCTTGTATTTTGGGGCTATCATTTTAATAGTAAGTAAAATACTAAATAAAGGCAGACAAGATTTACCTATTGGTGAACCCTCCATCAT